CCGCAGAGTAACTAAGCCCGAGCGCCACAACTACTGAGCCCTCATGCCACAACTCCTGAAGCCCGTGCGCCGCAACTACTGAGCCTATGCGCTGTAACTGCTGAAGCCCGCGTGCCTAGAGCTGATGCTCCACAGCAAGAGAAGCCACCACAATGAGAAGCCCACGCACCGCAACAAAGAGTAGCCCCCGCTCGGCGCAACTAGACAGAGCCCGCGCGCAGCAACGAGGACCCAACGCAGACCAAAAAAAAAAATGTATTACTTTATCTAATACATCCAAACATTATTTCAACATATAATCAATATAAAATTATGAATGAGATACTTTCCATAATTTTTCAGGTCTTCAGGATCTAGTGTGTAATTTACACTCACAGCATGTCTCACTTTGGACCAGTCACTTTCAAGTGCTTGGGACTGTGGGATTGGTCAGCACAGGGATCCAAGGTCACAGCCCAGACCCCTTAGCCTGGTACTGCATGTCCTTGAGTCCCAGCTCACGATTCCAGACCTAATTTCCTGCCCCTGCTCAGGGGCTCCAGCCAAAACGGTTACCGTGCACATCCGCAGACCCGACTGCACTGTGCTGAGCCTTGATCTGGCCGCCCGCCCCCAGCACAGGCCCGGCCCCACCTGTACTCGGGAGCTCCTCAGGGGGCCTGGGCTTTCGCCAAGGGTGTTTTTTCAACATACTCAAACACATCATCCAGATCACGGCCCCACTGACACTGGAGAGGTCAAGCCCGGCGGGGAAATCCTGTTAGTTAGCTCTGAGAACTGACCAAGATGCCTTACTTTTTTTATTAGACATTTTCTGGAACAAAAAATATACCCTTATGGTGCAGAAAGTGGTTTGCATTCTTTATATTTATTGAATAAGATGTTCTAGGTATTTGTTTTTTAATTTCTGTTCTCTAACTGTTTTGCTAAACCCAAACCAAGTGATAGCCCAGGGCAGTTTACTTCAGTGACTCCGAGCTAGCCCTGAAGTTGTGCCTCCCACTGCCCCAGGGGCGCCCTGGTTTATTGACGTTTGTCGGTGGCACAGAATGCGCCTTTGGGGCTGACGGGCCTGTGCTGGGTGTCATCTTACCCGCTCCATCCCCCTTGCACCAGTGCCTTCCGTGTCTCTAGGATGAAGAGCGCTTGGTTTGCTCCCCCATCAGCACCCCCACCATTGTCCCCTCTGTGAGGATGCTCTGACCTGCTTCCTCCCAGCCCGCTTCTTCTGCTGCCCCTTTACCTCTTTGCTCAGCGCGCCCTCATCCCAGAGATAGAGGCCTTTCTAGGCCTTCCTCCTTGAGACTGGAATCACTCTAATCCTCCTGCCCTTTGTCTTCTTCCCTGGTTGGGGTTTGCTCACAGTACAGCACTCCTTACCGTCACATCCTGTCAGTTCCATCCCACTTGAACATCAGTTCCCCTCAGGAAGGGATGTCTGTCTGTTGGTGCTGTCAGTGCCTGGCGTGTAGTGTACATTCAGTAAAGGATGGAAGGAGGAATGAACGAAACATGAGTGAGTGGTGAGCGGGAGGGACCACAGGCGAGTTTGCGGACCTCTCTGATCCTGTTTCTTGGTGGGTAACACGGCAATAGCACCTACCTTCCTATGGGGAAATGAGCACACATACTTACACCGCTGGTGGGAATATAAATTGTTACATCCTGTATGGGAGGTAATTTGGCGATATCTATAAAAAATTATAAATGTATGTACCTCCTGAGCCAGCTATTCCAATGGGAATTTATCCTGCAGTTATACATGTGAAAATTGCCATATGCGCAGGTTATTCTTTGCTATACAATGTCCTTCAGTGGGGGACTTCTCAAATAAACCACAGTATATCCATATAATTGAGTACTCTGCAGCTGTAGAAAAGAATGAGGAAGCTGTCTTCATACCAGTACAGAGAGACGCACGTGTGTGACTGCATGAGAAAGCAGAGGCGCAGACAGTGAAAAAAAGGAGTGTGGATAAACTTGTATCTGTGTTTGTCTTGTCCACGCAGGAAGACACTTGCAGAGATAAACAAGAAGCTAATGACAGTAATTCTGGGGGCAAGGGATCTGGGATGGAGGAAAGGGGTGTGAGTGAGGCTTTCTACTGGATACTTTTATTAATATATATGAATTATGACTGTATTACCTATTAAAAAACTAAAAGCTTACGTTGCGGGGTTATTTTGAGGATGAAACAGCATGTGTGCAGAGCCACTGCTCAGTGCTTGGCCACAGAGTAGATCCTCAGGTTGGAAGTTAGCACGGCTGTCCTGATATGCCTGCCACGTACCCCAAGATGAAGCAGACGTTTTCCCTGCACTTGAGCACACAATCTGGTAGGGAAAACTGATGGTGTAGAACAACTGAGAAAGCCTTCCCACGCTAGAGTTGGATATGTGGTCCGTTAATGGTTTTGGTTTGCAGTTGCTTAAGCTGCTGTACCTGCTTCCCAAGTGCTGAGGTGTGACGTGTCTACGTGGGGGCCCCAGCAGGGGCACAGAAGGTGGGCTCAGGTTTTTGTCCGTAAGTTACATCCACGTGTCTACTTACAGCAGGCTCAATGCACCTTTTGAACGTGGAGTAAAGTCTTTAAATGTGTCTCGTCACCCCAGTAACATGTATTTTAATAATGGTGCTATGATTATTTATCTCCATTCCTCACAGTTGCAGGGAAATACCGTTTTTACTTGACAGTATTCCAGTTTTGAGTTCTAATGGAATTATTTTTGTTTTGCCTTTTTAAGCCAAAAATAAAATTTTTCTCCTAACCATAGTGCTAGTTTTTATGTCCATCCTTAAAATTTTCCACACATGATAGAGTAACGGTGGAGAGCTGTTGGGAAAATTGAGATTAGATTTGGTTGTGGTGAAATGTGAGGTGCAGGGGTTGAAAGCCACACACCGTGCCAGGGCACGGCCAGCAGCCTGGCTTCTCAGCCTGAGGTTGCTTCTGTAGCCGCCCAGTGAGGCCACCAATGGGGGTGAACCGGCACCACCCTTGGACACTAGGCCAGCAGACCAGTCCCGGTTAAGGGATCAGGAGTGCTGGGGCAGCCTGAGCCCGGTGGGTACAGCAAGGTCTGCTGGGTGGGGGTAGGCTCCCCCCAAGACCAAAGCCCTGACCTGGCCTCGTAAGGTGCCTCTGACCTCTGTGGAAGAAATGGTGACGGTCTCGTGGAAACCCTGACAGAGCAGCGCTGGGCTTCCAGGTTGTTGGCGTTAGCATAGGTCAGCTGCCATATACAGGAAGGTCACCGGGCAGGAGAGGAAAGAGGCAGGGGGTGACAGTGCGGCTGTGACACTGCAGAGCGACAGCAGTGACCCCTGCTGCTCAGTAACCCTTGCCGGGCCCGCTAGCCCCGGGCCCTCTAGCCCCGGGCCCTCATGCCGGGCAGGGTCAGGCCTCTCCACTCCTCCCTGGCTGGGACCATTGTTGGCCACCTCCCTTCCAGGGCCTAATTTTCTGCAGCAGTTTGCATGGTTCATTAGTCTCTTTGAAGAAACCAAGTGTTTTCATTTTCTGTGACTTTCTGTAAAGATGCAGCACACACAGCAGACACACAGCGCAAGGCCGACAAGGCAGGAGGCCCTGTGTCCCGGTGGGCTTCCCGTCCCTGTGGCCCGTGGCCCTCTGAGGCTCGAGTCGGGGAACCCCAAGCACGTGAGGGAAGTGGGAGCGTGTAGCTCACCGAAGCCCGCCGGGCTCCCGAGGCACCCGGTTGCCAGGCTGGCAGTGGAGAGCGTCTGGCAGCAGGACCTGCTGAGAACTCAGGGGTCTTGGGAACTCCCAGATGGTTTCTGGTGCTGTGATTTGGGGACCAGGCAGCCTCATGGAAGCCGCTGTGCCAGTGAGCCCCACGAAAGGTCTGCAAGCAGGGAAGCGTACTCGGGGGGTGGTCGTCCCTTTGGGAGGTTTCTCCTTTTGCCTTTCGTTCTTTTAAAGGCAAGACTCCCGACCTGTGCCTGTTAAAGAAACAGGTGGTCAGTGGGTCAAAAATAAACGTGGAGTAGAGTGGCAGTGATTAGGCGCATACTCCTGAGTGTTAATCGTCTGTTTATTTTTTTGAACACCACCTTGTTCCAAAGAAGATGGAGGAATGGCTTCTAAAGATACACACATGACAGCGACCCTGAGTGAGGAAGTTGCAGTGCATCAGGGCCGAGGCAGAGCCCAGGGAGGTGTGCGTTGCTGTCCTGGGTGCTGCTGGCTGCACGTGGACTAACCACCCCCACCCCCGCCCCAGCAGCCGGAAGAGGCAGGGGTAGTCAGCACGGGGCACGCGGGGCTGATGCAGTGCAGAGAGCCCCTGGGGGCCCAGGGCTCCCGGCCGTGGGGACTGCGAGACTTTCCCGGGGACCTCGTAGTGAGGACCCTGTGTAGGTGCAGGAGTCACGGGCCCGGCCGCTCCTGGCGTGAGACGTGCGAAGTGCCCGGGGCTGTCCCTCTCCCCGGTGTGTCCCGGCGCCTCTTATAGTATCTGTCGGGCACATACTAGGCTCTCAACAGTGTTTGCTGAATGACTGACTCGGTGAAACCCAGTGGCCTGACACCCAGGTGCAGTTCTAGAAGGTAATTCCACAAGGGGCCAAAATGCCTTCGCTGGCCTGACCGCGGGATAGGATGTGGAGTGCCTGGATGGACGCGTCCCTTCTCACTGAGAAGCAGACAAGTTTTCTTGCTGGAAAAGTAGACCTTTAAAACTTCTCCATTGTGATAACTTGTTCTCCTTTGTCTTCACAGAGACTAATAGACAAGTCACGAGTAACCTGTGTCAAATGGGTTCCTGGTTCGGAAAGCCTTTTCCTAGTAGCCCATTCAAGTGGGAACATGTACTTGTATAATGTGGAGCACGCTTGTGGCACCACAGCTCCCCACTACCAGCTTCTGAAGCAGGGAGAGAGCTTTGCCGTGCACACTTGCAAGAGCAAATCCACGAGGAACCCTCTCCTCAAGTGGACGGTGGGCGAGGGGGCCCTCAACGAGTTTGCTTTCTCCCCAGATGGCAAGTTCTTGGCGTGCGTGAGCCAGGACGGCTTCCTGCGGGTGTTCAGCTTTGACTCAGTGGAGCTGCACGGCACCATGAAAAGCTACTTTGGAGGCTTGCTGTGCGTGTGCTGGAGCCCGGACGGCAAGTACGTCGTGACGGGCGGAGAGGACGACCTTGTGACCGTCTGGTCCTTTGGAGACTGCCGCGTGATCGCGCGGGGCCACGGGCACAAATCCTGGGTCAGCGTGGTGGCGTTTGACCCCTACACCACTAGCGTGGAAGAGAGCGACCCTATGGAGTTAAGTGGCAGCGACGAGGACTTCCAGGACCTTCTTCACTTTGGGAGAGACCGAGCAAACAGTACCCAGTCCCGGCTGTCCAAGCGGAACTCGACCGAGAGCCGCCCCGTCAGTGTCACGTATCGGTTCGGCTCCGTGGGCCAGGACACGCAGCTCTGCTTATGGGACCTCACGGAAGACATCCTTTTCCCCCACCAGCCCCTCTCCAGAGCAAGGACGCACACGAACGTCATGAACGCCACGAGTCCTCCTGCCGGAAGCACTGGCAACAGCGTCGTGACCCCCGGCAACTCGGCGCCCCCTCCCCTGCCGCGGTCCAACAGCCTCCCGCATTCCGCCGTCTCCAGCACCGGCAGCAAGGGCAGCATCGCGGACGGGGCCATCGCTTCCGGGGTCAGCAAATTCGCGACGCTCTCACTACATGACCGGAAGGACAGGCACCATGAGAAGGATCACAAACGAAACCATAGCATGGGACACATCTCTAGCAAGAGCAGCGACAAACTGAACCTAGTTACTAAAACCAAAACGGACCCAGCTAAAACTTTGGGGACGCCCCTGTGTCCTCGGATGGAAGACGTTCCCTTGTTAGAGCCGCTCATCTGTAAAAAGATAGCACATGAAAGACTGACTGTATTAATTTTTCTTGAAGACTGTATAGTCACTGCTTGTCAGGAGGGATTTATTTGCACATGGGGAAGGCCTGGTAAAGTGGTAAGTTTTAATCCTTAATGCTGCACCAGATCTAGAACTTGAATAGGTAGTGATTTTTTTCTTGCGGGAGGGGCGGGGTGTACAATGAATGTGAATGACACTTCTTATTCTTAATGTAAATCTAAATGCATCAGAGCCATAATTTTGGATACTGCATGCCATGTAATTCTGAATCATTTGATAATTCACCTTAGAACGTTTAAAAAATATAATCAAACTAATGGCCAGCCAAGTCAGTCACCCTCCTGGGAGTATATAGAGTCCCAAGGTTAGCGCTCCTGTATTAGACTATTTCGATTTTAGGAAAATCATGACAGTGTGGGGAAACAATGACTTTAAAATGCTAAAATTAAAATTTCTGCTTTAACTGGAATATTTTTGCTTAACTACTCAATTAGAATATTGTACACCTGATCAGAGTGTGTGTTCAATACGAACGGCCATTAATTGTCATTTATAGTCCAACTTTTTATCTTAATCATCAAATGTTTAGGAATCTATGAAATTTAACTTTAGGAACAAAGTGTTCAGCAGGGTTGATTGATATTATTTTTACATCGTTCTGGCAATCCACAGAAAGAGAAGAGCCTTAATTTTTAAAACCCATTTTAGTCATTTTATGACAATTAAAATTGTTTAATAAACATCTTTTTTCAAAGAAGCAGTTTGTAGCACTTTGATTGAGACTCTGTGCACTAAATAAAATACCCATGTTTCTCAGAGCCTGGACAGTTACCGCGAACTGCGGGCTGAGGGCGCCAGCAGTGTTGTCAGAAGTGCCTCTTGCCACACAAGCCAAGATCTTTTATGGTGGATGTGATTTGCTTACGTTTTTTCCAACAAGGGGAAGGAGCTTTTCTTTTCTTTTCCTTTTTTTTATTTTTTGGTGTGGGTTTTTGGTTTTTGGTCAAAAAGGCACATGACCGTAGGCCCTAGGCAGACTCCTCAGCCTTGTTTGTGAAGACTGATAGGCCCCCAAGGTTCAGAGAACTTGAAATTTTTCCCTCGTTTGGGTTTTGTGTTCCCACCAGAGGGGAAGGGCAGGCGCAGGTTGCTCCTCTTCTCCTTGGAGGGCAGTCGTGGTCCCGGATCTTCCGGATCATTCTCGGGATGCCCTCGGCCTCTGTCTCAGGGACCCCATCCCCTACCCCAGCGCCTGCCCCTGGGGGCCTGTGGCTGCTGGGGGCAGGGCTGGCTCTCCCTCTGCCCAGATGGCTGCGACTCTTAATTCCTTCAGATCCTTATCAGCTGTCAGACGAGTTGCTTTGCAAATTCTAGTTTTCACAGTGGATGAGAGGGCTCTTTGACCCATATGTTTCGTGTCAAGATGATAATGATCTCATTTGTTAGCTCACTTAGGTTTGTTTTTCTGTTGTGCACGCCTTTGTAATTAAATATAGAGATACTGATAATTTATACCGGTTTGAGTAGTGAACGCGATTCAGCAAAGTGCCGACCTGGAGGCTTCAGTTTGTCGGGGTGCGAGACTCTGGTTGATGGAGCAGCTCCGTGCTCTTAAAGCCGCCCTCCCGGGAAGGCCAGGCCAGCTCCCCGCTCCACACGCGTCCGGGCCGAGCCGTTCACTCTGTGTCCCCCGTGCTCATTAGTGTGGTGGTTTCTGCGACCTGTGACAGCGGGGGTGTGACCTGTGACAGTTCTTCCACGTGAGAACCTCGGGCCGGTTCATGCATCACGGTCCATGGGGATGTTAATGTCCTGTCTGCCTTTAAGATATGGTCCTTTGTTCCTAAATGTTAACTGATCTGAGGTAGCAAAGACAGCCATGCTTGTGGACTGTTTCAGCTTTGGAGGCTAGGAAATTGGGCTGTCAGGTGGAGAGCAGGAACCAGCACTCCATGTGCAATTTTGTGTACCTGCATAGTTTTAGAAATTCAGTTTCAAATGCTTCTGAGGCATTGAGTATGCAGTTTCAAAATTCAGGACTTTGTAATTGGCCCAAGTGGCTGAATCCCAGGTAAGTGGCCTTTACGGGGGAGTGTGTCGCGCACAACCTTCCAATTCTGAGCGCTGTGCTCCTTCAGTGCGGGCAGGAAAGCCACGGGTGGGGCCCGTGTAGCTGATGCTTGTGCGACGGGGGCCCTTTCTGGTTCCTTCTGTCCTTCAGCGTCCGCTGGGGCAGCTTACCCAGGGCGCGGTCTGTGGGTGGGAGCGGGGGTGGGAGAGGCAAGAGGAGGGTGTTACTGGCCCCTTAAAAAACAAGCCCCGCAGCGCGCTCTTAGAAGCCGGGCTCCATCTCCTCCACGCCGCCCCCACATTAAACCACCGTGGTCCCTGCACAGTTTGGGGTTTGGGGCTTGGTCACAGTCTCGGTCTTCCAGCTGCTGCTGGTGAGTGTATCCTTGATGTCTGGCTGGGGCCCTGGCTGAGTGTCAAGTGCCGGGGAAGGGCTGCTTGGCCTGGCCCGGCCCGGCCCGGCCCGGACACGGCAGGGCGACGCTGCTTCCGCCCACTCTGCCCCTCTGATGCCTCCGCCCTTCTGTGACAGCCAGCAGCACCCTTTTCCTGCAGTCAGGAGGGCAGAGCGCGAGGTGCTCTCCAAGACCAGGACTAAAGTCGCCGGCAGCTTGAGGAGAGGGGGCACAGGGGAGGGAGGGAGGGGACGGACGGGCGGGCCCCTCCCCTCCACCCTCGGGTTTGTTTCGGGGCCGCCAGGGCTCCTGCAGACCGGGGTCAGGAGGGGGGTTGCTTCGAGGGGTTCCAGGGCGCCAGTCGCAGGAATATAAGGCACCGTGGCCACTAAGGGAAATCTGGGGAGTGTTTTTTTGTAGTTTTCTCCCCACATTTTGAGCTTCCTCATTGAAACTTTTCAGTTTTTCAGCTTAAACGTTATCCTGAGCAAGAGTATCTTTTCTAACCTAACCTCTGGAATAAAACAGCTTGTGGCCAGAAGAGGTTATTTCTACTCGCTCAGCACGATTTTTCCACCATGCACTGAGACGCATCGATGAAAAGCAGAGAAATAAAGTGCTCAGGGTAGCACGTGAGCCGAGCTGCTGCCCCCCCCCCACAAGAGGTGGCTCTGCCCGCCTGCGGCGACAGGACCCCTCGGAGGGCACTAGCCAGGCTGTGGGGTCTTCTCTGCCTGCCCTGCCCTGGCTCGCCCCTTAAAGCTTCTGGGAATTCCAGAGCTGGGCTTGTGTTGTGACCTGGGCCATGCAGGCTTCTGAACCCACTGGCTGCCCCAGCCCCAGCCCTTCTCTGTTTCTCCTCCGCTGGGAGAGCTGGGGTGGGAAGCCTTTGGAAAACCTGGCCTCTTATTTTATTTTTATTTTTATTTTTGGCCTTCTTTTAAAGGCAAATGTGGAAGAGGGAGTAGGCAGACTCTTTAAAAATAACCAGTAGCTTTGGGTTCTAAATTGATTTAAATAGTGGTAAAGAATCTTAATTTTGTTTTTTGTGCTGACTGGACCTTCTCACATTTTTGAAGGGTTCTCCTGTGAGCCGTTGGCTTGGGACTAAGGATAAATGCCTTAATGGAAGAAAAAGAGAGGAGTGGAAATACAGGGATAAGCTATGACAGTGATTATTGCCTCAGACATCCAGAAACGATGAGGGACAAAAGGCCCTGAAGCTTTCTCAGTTTTTACAGGCGTGTAACACGCGTGCCCCCAGTATTCTGTTCCACCGCTGGCCCCACAGCCAAGTGCAGGCTGGCAGGTGGCCCAGCAGCCGTTTCCCCCCGATTCCTCCACTTCCTGTGGTACATCCTGAATTTTTAAGAAATTGTCAAGTATTGAACTTGTGCTGAAGTTGGTGAAGCAGCTTTATCGATGTCCGCACCCGTGTACAAGGTTCTCGTTACCTCCTGCTTGGGAGGGAGAGCTTTGATTTCCTGGTTGAGGAAGCTCAAAGTGTGAGGGGAGAGCCAAAGGGCCGGGGAGCACCGCGGAAGGAATCCTTTGAAAACCCATAGGCCACGTTCGTGGACCTGTCTGTCCGAGGAGGAACTAGAAGCAGAGGTCGACCGTGGTTTCCCAGGAAAAACACACAGCGCGCCGCATCCCGTTCTCTGCGGGAGGGCTTGGCCCAGGGTGACCGGCCGCGGCCCCTGCACGGAGGGGAACGAGGGGCAGCGGTTGGCCTCCTGTGCGGGTCGTCCCGCTGTGCCGGGCGTGTCCACTCCTGGGGCTTCCTTCCTCTGCATTCACGCGTAGGCCTGATAAGTGACCCGGAGGAGAGGTCCGCCTCGGGCACCACGGCAGGGAACAATGGGCAAAGGCTCCCTCCTTGTCCAGAGCACACCTGTCACGCTGGGCTGCTTGGGACTGTCACCTGTTCAGGTAGTCCGGGGGCTCAGCCCCACCACCCCAGTGCTGGCCAGTGAGAGGGGCGGTCTGGGAGGGTGGAGTCCAGGGCTCCTCTTGCAAGGCACTTGTATCCACCTGTTCCCTTTGAAACTCAGAGCCAAGTTCAAACCTGTGTGTAAAAGCCCCTCCAGGAGAGGGAAGCTGTTCCACTGGTACTTTTTATTCATTGCTGCATCTGTTACGTGGACTTTGTGTCATGGTCACATCGCTGTTGCTCGAGTTAAATATGTAAAAGAAAACTTTTCTGCATTTTTGATTTCTGTATACCTAAGTTTATTAAAGGTTACTGTGTTAGGTGACACTGTATAAAATTGTATGAATATTTACCCTTAATGAAAATCAAAACTCATATGTATTTCCTTTTTTACATTCTCATCTAATTTCTTGAAAACTTGAATAAATTTCATAAAGAGCCTTCCTAACATGAAATGTTGGTAAATTAAGTTCTTAACTGTTGCAATAATTAATGAAGCTTTAATACCAGTATTGTTACTTTATAATTTTAAGAAAATCGTGTTTCTGTTTCACTGCCTTGGTTTTTAGCTGTTCCCTTGTCACTGTCACAGCTAGAGACTTACTACATACTTGATATTCTGAAGAACTTTGGGGTTGTCCTCTGTATAATGACGTTAAATAAACGCGTGAATGAACTGTAAATGTAGATAAATTTTCAGTAGTCACTTTCACATCAGAGCTTTAAAAAAATCTCAGTGAACCAAAAAAGAAAGCTTCTAAATGCTGTAAAATCAAGGGCCTTGTTAATGTTTATAGAACAAAGAGCCCCAGGAATTGCTACCTCTTATTACTGATGCTGAGTTTTTCCGAATTAGAAGCTTTCTAAGTGAGATGTTTGTTCTGAGCACGGGAGGTATTCACTGTTTTTTGTGACCTTTCTCTGAGCCAAGTCCCATGTGGGGAAGGACCGTGGGTTGGCTTTGCGGCCGAGCTGGTGCCGGTTCTGTGTGGAGCGCGTGCTGAGTTCCCAGGCGGTGGGCAGGCGACGCTGTAGCAGCTCTTCTCCTGGGGAGGGTTTGTCATTTTCTGTTTGCCGGAGGCGTTGTCATCGCCGTGGAGGTGGTCCTGCCTCGCGCCCGGGCCCCGAGGCTCCGGTGCAGGACGAGCCCCGTGAGCAGGGCAGTGGGAGCCGGTCCTCCCGGGGCGGGAAGCAGGAGCGATGTGCACTGTCCTGCTCTGGACCGCCCCTCGCTCTCGGCAGCGCCGGCGCCTCCGGCCCCGAAAGAACCTTCATGGCAAGAGTTCCAGGCCTCGGCCCGCACGCTCAGCCCGGGGCTCGTGGGGGCAGCGGTGAGCAGCCCGGGACAGAGGCCTTGTCAGGCCCTGGGGCTCCCACTCAGCCGCTGCGTCCCTGCTGTTTCGTGAGACGCCTGGGCCCAGAGCTCGGGGCTGGCAAAGCCTCTGGAAGCCCCTCCTGGCCGCCTGTCCTTCTCGGTGGACTCCAGAATCTTCCTGGCTGCGCTGTCCTCCTGAGCCGCCCGTGCTGCAGGGTGTGTGGGCTCTTGCCTTTGACTCGAAGCTGCCAGAGCAGAAGAGACGGTCCGATACTCCGCCCTCAGAGGGATCTACTTGGACTTTACTACCACAGAAGCTGCACGTTTTCTCCTTAGCGCTCGAGGGGATTTTAAGCCCTGAATGCTATAGGTTGACAGGAAGTCTAAAAAGACGCACACATGCACAGCATTTTGATCTTTTAAAGATAACTAGTTTGTACACCTTGAAAACATAAGTCCATTCTCCCACGTGTGGCTGCCTTTTGAAACAGTCGATTCTGGACCAACAGATCTCTTGAAAGGGACAGAACATCTAGGGGTGCTCAGCCCCGCCCCTCTAGTGTCGGTAGCCTCTAAACCAGCCTTCACGTGGATGCCCCATGACGGGACTCAAGCTAGAAGACACTGGAGGTCCCGGCCTGCAGAGAGGATGTCAGAGCCACAGCGGGTCACCCGGCGGGAGGGTCTGCAGGCCGTGGGCGAGGCTCTTCCCCAGCACGGTTCTGGTTCTCGCAGGAGCCCTTGACTGGTTGTGCCCTAAGAAAACACCACGATCGTTTTCCCTGGGCGACTTTTCCCAGGTTGAGTGGCCTCTTTGGGGAAATGTGTCACCGCCAGTGTGGCCAGTCACCGGGCAGGTCAGGGCCGGCCAAGGGGCAGCTGCCCAGTGGAGCCAAGGTCCCAGGCCACGGTGAACAGTGGGTCTGGGGCAGGGAGGGGTCCAGATGCTCAGAGAATGGCTCAGAGTATGCGCCGGTGGAGTGGGCCCCTCCCAGCCCGCACCCACTTCCTAAACTTGGCTCACTGAGTCCGGGCCTCACGCGCCTTGATGAAATGGGAGGTCCTCTGTCCAGCTCTTCTATGGTTCTTTTATGCAGCGGCCTGGGCAGTGTGAGTGGCGGGATTCTTGTGGATGAAATAAGGAGAATGTATCCATAGCTAGAAGCGGCCCTGAGGAAGTTAGCCGGGTGACGGTTCTCATCGTTTGTGTACTGTCTCTAAAAGGGCCTCACTTCGCAAATATTTACCTCTTAGTCTCCGAGTGAAGTGAGATAATTCGGGGGAGCTCCTGGCAGGTTGCCTTGAACCGGAGCCTCCAGGGTTAAGTGCTCTGTGGCAGGTGCAGGGCCACCCCTCCAGGTGAGGCTGACCTGGCTGAGGGCCGCAGCAGCGCTGAGCTCCTCCTGTAGCACTTCTCTGCTGGTCTCGAGAGGCTGCCAGTCTGCTGCAAGACCTGTCCCGGGGCCAGTGTGCACGTCACTTTCGTCTGGGGTGAAGAGGGTGATTCTGGGAGTCGACTGACCAGGCTTTGAACAGCGCCAGATGCCCATCCCACGACCACTCTCTCGAGGGTCTGCGGTCTCACACGTTTCCAGACGAGTCCATGGTAGCTGGGGTCGGATGGGGAGGCCTGCCGTGGGCCCAGCGGGACTTCAGGACGAGGCCGTTCTCTGACGAAGGCCTCTGAGACCCTCACGGTCTTTTCTTGCTGTCAGGGTCTCTGATCTCGGCAGCACCCACGAACAAAGACATGTTCCTTTGTTGTAAATTGTTTTTTAGCCGAAATATTACTTTTTCTATATATACATTCTTATGAAACAAGGTTTAATTCTGTTAGTATTATAAATTATAACCAAACCCAAACTAAGAGCTGGGGTATTTTATCAATTTTCACATGAAATCTCTAGCAGGAATAAAATGGCAACTCTGGTGAGAACAGAACAACCTATTAAATATTAGATCCAAGAGCTGCCACTATTTCTGTGATAGGCTTCCTTCCTGGAGGGGTAATGGGACATTAAGCAGGTTCTTGGCTGGAGAAACCTTTTGCTTGAGTGATATATGTAAAGCCCTCGTTTGCCAGCTGCCCGGCGTCAGGTGGAGAGACCAGCAGCTACCATGCTGCCCGGACAGCTGGAAGCCAGCAGGGTCGCTGAGGCCAGGCGCTTGATCCTCCCCGAGAGTCATCAGGGAGGATGCAGTCAGAGGGCAGGCCGCCCTCACGGGCGGCCACAGCGGGGCAGACGGCGGCGGGTCCTCCTCGCTGAAAAACCGGCCCCAAACTGTGCCCTTAGGTTAACGTGTCCAGCCAGGCTTCCCCCTAAGAGTGTTCTGGAGTCTTCGATGGAGGCCTGCAAGTGTGTCTTCCATCTTTCTTATCATCACCCAGCAACTTCGAAACTAAAGCACAGGCTTCCAGAAATAAGGTTACTCTTCACATTTTCTTTTGAATAGTGGTGTTTCCCCCGATGCCTCCACAGTGTGTCTGTCCTGCAGAACAATTCCATCTCTGGGAAGAGGACAGGGGTCAGGCCTGGCCCCCCGACAGGCTCCTGGCCTGCGTGCCGGGCACCGAGCAGATCCTGAGGCCTTGCTCTGCTCACCCCGGGGAGCTTAGTCCCGGGCCGCCGTCTCCTTGCTTGTGGCTGACCCGCGAAGGTCAGAGTCCCCTTGCTTCAGACACCTTAGACCGGATGAGGTCATCTGTGATGTTACAGGCTTCTTCCCTCCAGACTGTCCGCGATGGACAGGGATTCGGGCCTGGCGGCCTCACTGCAGCTCAGTTCAGACTCGGGGGGAGCGTTTCTCATCACTTGGCCAAAGGTTCCCTTCATCACCGAGGCGGTAAACCAGCCATCCTCCCCTCTGTGGACTGGGCCGGGATGGGCACAGTGTCCAAAAGAGCTCCTCCTTCCCGTTGGGCCAGCCAGAGCTTTACCTCTTCTGTCAGGCTCCATCCACGCCGTCTTGAGGGGTTTGAGTGAGAAGCTGCCCGTCGCCATGGAGATCAGACAGGGCTGTGTGCCTTTCCGGCAGTAACTCCAAGGTCAAGGAAAAGCACTCCTGTAGATTCTGAGCGGGGGCGAGTTGCTAAGTTCCATTCGTCCCTGCTTCCTGATCTTGCCTAGATGAACAGATTTCGGGTTTAAGGTGAGAAACGAGATAAAGTGACTTGGAGCAGGACCGCGTGCTTCCCGGCTTCCCTCCAACAAGGCGTGGGCGAAGCTGAGGGTCAGTTTCAGATCATCACCCTTCATCTGTGCCAGCCCAAGGCCAGGTGTGAAAACGCAGCCATGTTTGCTTAAAGGCGTGTCCTGTGTGCAGCATTTTGGGGGACAGCTTAAGGATGTTTGTGTTCACAGAACTGAAAATTTGTAGCTTCAGTGTTGCAATACTGTAACCTTAAAATTATTCTTAATAAATGAATGCCAAGCTGTGCTGGACTACGTGCATCCCAGCAGATGCAGGGAGATGTAAGTGCTCTTTGCTGTACAAGAGGTAAAAACGCTTTCAGGGTTACCTAAGCGCACGCCTGTATTGCAAGAGATCCGTGACAGCCTCCTGCCTCTCCGTAGGAACCAGCCCAAAGGGACAGACACCACCCCTTACTTACCGCAGCCAAGCGGCAGCCTTTTTGTCCTGAGCCTCCCCACCCACATGACTGGATCCTGCTTTCTCTACCTGCTGGGCCCGGTGGGCTGGCGCTAATGCCAGAGGGGCACCACCATCACACCACCCATCAGAGAGAGCAAAGAAAACGCCTCTTCAAAAATGCCACTAGACTCTGTCCTTGGCGGCCACCCCGGCCCTTGGGGGACTGGGCGTGCAGCTGTCTGGCCTCACTGGGCGAGCTGGCCTCGGAGCCGGGGGGACCCCTCTGTGGCCCAGAGCTGCAGCCCTTGGGGAGGGCAGTGAACAGCCCCCCTGGGAGGTGCCCCTGGCCTTTGGGCAGTGATTGCTCCAAGGAACCCTGGCCCTGAGAGACCACTCTCTCCCCCAGGCCAGCCCTGCCCAAAGCGTGACACCCGAGGTGCGGGGGCGGGGCAGGCTCAGGATTCCGATGTTAGGAATTAAGTAGATGGACACGGAGGGGCTGTTAAAACCCTGGCTTCCAAACCAACAGAAAGCTAATTGTGCTCCTGTGAAACTGCTGGAAAGGATGAGTGACTGACTTTCTTCGCGGCCCCGTGTTTTGCTGGATTAATGTAAACGGCTTTGTTTGCAGGGTTTAATGTCAGCCCCAAACCAGGCCAGTTCTCCAGGTGGGACTATAGTGTAGTGAGCCCGCTCCCGCTCGGAGGTTCTCACCCCGGACCGGGTCTTGAGGGAGCGACGACGGAGCCCAGGGCCGCACGTGAGCCACGTGGGCGTCAGGCCCCGGGCCGCAGGCAGGCCGCAGGCAGGCATCGCCCGCGTGGAGAGCAGCGCGGAAGATGAACGCGGGGCTCGGCGCCGCTCACCCAAAGAAGCTGTTTCCATTTTTAAATCGTTCTCTTGGGGCTGCAGTAAAAAATAAGAAATGAGATTTTCTTGCTTTTTACTCTAAAACTCAATGTAATAAAAATGTTATATATATTTATGTAATATATACATATATACATAGTGTGAAATAAAATGTTTCTTGGACAAGAAATCCCCTTAAATCCAACTGTTAAAAATAGTACTTCACTCTGTTTTTGCTGATTTTCTTTTTAACACCTTAGGTGTCAGAAGACAACCTGGAATGCACTCATCAAGAAAGTTGTTACTTTCTGGCTTAAATATGCAATTCAGGAAGACGGATGCTGCGTGCATGGGTTTTTAAAAATTGTTTGCACTTGAAATAGTTTAATGCTGTTAAAAAATAACTTTGAGGGCTTCCCTGGTGGCTCAGTGGTTGAGAGTCCGCCTGCTGATGCAGGGGACACGGGTTCGTGCCCCGGTCCGGGAGGATCCCACATGCCGCGGAGCGGCTGGGCCCGTAAGCCGTGGCCGGCTGAGCCTGCGCGTCTGGAGCCTGTGCTCTGCAACGGGAGAGGCCACAGCAGTGAGAGGCCCGAGTACCGCAAAAAAAAAAAAAATAATGATAATAATAACTTTGAGTATGGTTGTAGTGGGCCTCCAAGGTGTGGCATGAAGATGCCCTTTTTAATCTGTTAACATTTAACACTCTTGTTCCAATGCAATCGGCTCTGTATTATATGTATAAATAATGTCATTCTGCAATTGCGGAAATGGTCGCTTCAGTAGTACTTTTCATCTTCCAAGAGTGATATTTCTAATTCACAAAAAAATATTAAAACTTTCTTGAATAATTAATATTAAAACTTGCTTGAATATACCATTTGTTTATCTTCTGTTAAATTGGCTCAACTTTTACTGTATTGTTTTTGTTGAATTAAATGTTTACACCATGTCCCTTGCAGCCCTGATGTGAGGCAGGCTCTTCAAGACCGTGGCTCATCCGGAGAGCCCTGCGGTTCTCTGGCCCCTTCTTGCTGTCTCCCCATCTTCGGCCTTTGTGGGCAGCTGCCCATGCGTGCGGACTGCGGTCTCAGGGAGCAGTTTTCTCCTTACAGCTTCAAGTCCACGAGTCCACCTTCTGTTGTTGGAAGATCACACACGGCTCTGTACGGTGAGTGTGAAAGTGCTTTGTTAGGGATGCAGAGAAAAAAAAGCCTGATGACAATTACATGGGATTTTTATCTGGCTGAAGCCAGCTGGTGAGCATCTTGGTCATGCCCACGCCTACTTGTAGGCGCTACAGGGGACTAGAATCATGACAGTGTAGCTGCCAAGTACAGGAACTTTTCTCAATTGAAAAAAATCATACACAGTTGAACCCTTTGAAGGCCTTTTTATGTGGTCAGACTCTAAACCACGAAGTGCCTAAAACACATTTCTCTAAGTGATCCCAATAAACTGGGGGCGCGTCTAAGTGATTTTAGGCTAGAAAAGACGTGTCCACGCGCCATTTCCATCATTTCTGTGAACGTAGCAACAGGATGTTACTGTTGCAGAAAAATTCTCATCAGCCTGGGTCTTGGCTTCCTTCTCAGAGGAGAGGAGGGTCAGGGAGCCAGTTCTTCACCAGCCGCCGGGCCAGGAGGGCTGCGCCACGGGGAGCCTCCGTCACAGGGCAGGGGAGCCTTCGCAAAAGGTGGAAACCACCACACACCAGGACACCCTCTCGCTGTAAGTGAAAGAAGCAGGATTTATATGTTGGACACATTCAGAATGCCCTTCCTATGAAAACATCAGCACGTTTTAGATAGTTTGGTATTTGTCATCCTAGTCAAAGCACTGGTCTCTAAGTGCTGTCCATCACACTGAAGGCCTACGAGGAAGCCACGCGTATTTCTGGAGATCAGAAAAGGCCGCCTTGGAACTCGAGTCCAGAATCCTGAGCCTTGCGGTTCTTCTGGGTCGACTCCTTTTCCTGTGAACTTCCTGCTTGTTTGTAGGAAGTGACGGGTGGGTACCTGGTGGCCCCAGGACAACAGCAGCGTGAAAAGTCCGAGGACCCAGGGCGCGGCCCAGCTCTCGGCGCCCCCAGGCTGACGTCGCTCCGGCCCTATTTGCTCCGCCCACCGCCCTCCGTGCGACTCTGCGGTGCAGTTTGCGGGATGCATCCGTGCTGGGAACGCATCTTTTTCTTTTATCGGCTGGTCCCTGGCCAAGTGGTCCAAGATGGCTTCCAAAATCGGCCGGCCTCCTACCCGCCCCCGCCCGCCCCGCCAGCACGCGCCCCGCGGCCGCAGGCCCAGGGCAGAGGGCCCCCAGGCCGGCCCCCACCCCTCCTCTCGGAAGCCACGGAGGGTCGGCTTGGCGCACCCGGTACGCTTCGCCGGCTCTTACTGCTCGCCTGGAGCGCCCTCATCCCTCGGCAGCGTCGCCCCTGCTCTGTCTTCTCGGGAGCAGGTTTACATCAACAGCCGGCAGGGCCGGGCTCCTTGGACTGGGGTGTCCGCCTGCGGCCTCTGCCCCCAACCTCGGCCCCAGCTGCGTCTCAAACGTGGACGAGGGCGTCGGTCGGGGTGGTGATGAGGGAGCTCCCTTGCTCGGGTCTGTGGAGACGGGCCCTCCAGTGGCCCCGGGGAGGCTGAGATGGCCCAGCCGCCCGGCCTCGCAACCGGTCAGGTTTGGGGTGCACGGAGACCCAGCAGCGCTCTGGCAGCAGGGCCCGGCGGCCTCCTGTGCCCCCAGAGCCTGGCCAGCGCCCGCCCGTCGCCAGGCCCACGGGGCACAGAGACCTGGTGGACGCAGGGGCCCCCTGGGGAAAGCGGACCCGCCCCCTGAAACCGAGGCGGAGGCCCACAGGGCCCAGGGCACCACGCCCGCAGGGAGGAGGGTGCCTTCACAAAAAGGTACAGCGCCGAAGAACTTTAGAGAGGCCCTTCGCGTTTATATACTTAAAGGGGGTGACGATTTCCCTAAATTGTCCTTGCACCTGCCCTCACTTGGAGCCGCGCTCAGAGCGCGGGCCTGTCCCTGGCCTCTCCCGAGTTCGCCGAGCCCGCAGCGCCCCCGGGGCGCGGCGCTCCCAGCCCTCTGCCCGCCCCGCCCCGACGCCACTTCCACCCGGGGCGTCCCCGAAGCCCCCCACGTCTCCCCACGTGCACCGAGGCTCTGCCCGCCCTGGGCCCGCACGCGCCCGCGCCCATGGCTCCCCCTCTCCCGGGCACCGGGAAATGCTGGCCACGGCCTGCCCTCCTCCCCCCCCCCACCCCCACCCCCCCCCCCACCCCCTGCCCCGGGTCCACCTCCCCCAGCCCCTCGTCCTGTCCCTCCTGGCCCCTTGCCCTGCCCCTTCCGGCGCCACCGCTGCTCTGCCACCTCCCCTCCCTCCCCCACGGGAAACAGGTTTCTTCTTGTGCCCGCTTATTGCTGGCACCCCAGAAACGAAGCTGGGCGCGCCCGCAGGCCATCGGGAAGCAGCGGCCTCTACTCACGGAGGAAGCTGGGCCTTGGGAGCTGGACCGGCGACCTGCCCGCGGCCCGCACCCGGGGTTTCCGAGGGCCGAGCGCCAGCCCGTGTCGTTCCTCAGTGGACGGTCAAGTGAACAGTGAAGCTGCACCGAAGTCTCCCCAACAAAATCAATGCGCCTGATACGCTCCCAAAAGTCAAAATAAAGGAACGGATAATCAGGACACATGTTTAACTCAAAATACATCAAGGTGCGACACTGTAACGATAGCTTGTCGTTTAATAGAAATCGGGGTCTCCAGTGGCACAGCCGGGAAGCCAGACGTGCTAGGCCACTGCCGGTGATGGATGCACTAAGGAAGGCACCGTGTGCAGAGCCCTCGGTGAAACCGGGCCTAAATAATCCATAACGTATAATTTCTGTTTTGATTCATATAAAAAATTACAAAATATTCCCTGCCCTAAATTCTCCTGTTACGGAAAGGAACCGAAACCCTAGAATGAGGTGATTTTACAAAGGTATGAGACTGGAACCTACAGTACGGCTGCCTTTAGGATGCAAGCAGCCTCGGGCCGGCGGGCTCCAAGCTGAGGTGCTGGTGCTGGTCTGGGGGCAGCTCTCCCGGGACGCTCGCTGGGGCCCGGCCGGGTAGGAGCCGCCCCGAGCAGGGGAGCCGCAGCGCCACTCAGTAGCCTCCACCTCTCCGCTCTACTGTGGGCCGGCGGTACTGTTTCAGGTTAGGCTGGATGTCCTTCTGTGTGTCTGTCTGTTAAAGAAAGTGACAGACACTCAGCAGAGGCCGGGATGGGCGCGAGCGCAGCGCCAGGGGAACCGGTGGGACGCCCACCTTCTGGTTCAGGCCAACACACTTCGGGGGTCTCAGCACCGGGACCTTCCGGGTCGCTCCGGGGGCAAACACTGACTGCAGCGCTGGGCTGGAGTACGAGGGCTGCTTGGTCACTCCCGATAGCTTGAGCTTGGGCAGTGCCATCACGTAGGCTGGTCCGTGTCTCCTGGGATGGTCCTCCTCTTGCTTTAGGGGCTGTTTCTAGAAATAAAGCAAAGGTCAGATGAACATACAATGCTTTCCCCTTTGTGGGAATTAGGAAAAGCAAAAGGGGCTCTTTTGTACTACTTTTGCCTCACACAATTTCTTGACCGTGAGGTGTGACGGTATGGTGACTGGACAACACGTACCGCGTCCCAGCCCCCTAGAAGTGCGGTGGCCGCTCCCTGGGCCGGGGCCCGGGCGGACAGCGGGGGAGGCCGCGCTGATGCATGTGCAGCTCCAAGGGCCGAGGCCACGGTGACGCTTCCCGCTCGGATTCCCTGAGGTCGGCCAAAGAGGCCTGCAGCCTGCTTCTGCGTGGCCAGTGCGCTAAGAATGGATTTCACATCTTCTAATAGTTGGAGAAAGTTTCACGGCATGTGATTATGAGACTCCAGTTTCAGGGCCCACGGTTTTATTGAAACCCATCCCCACCATTCGTTTTTTTTTTTTTTTTGCGGTACGCGGGCCTCTCACTGCTGTGGCCTCTCCCGTTGCGGAGCACAGGCTCCGGACGTGCAGGCTCAGCGGCCATGGCTCACGGGCCCAGC